CTTGAAGTGTCACAAAGGACAGGAGAATTAAGAAGACTGTGACAAAGCTCCCTACAGCTGTCCCTAAATGCCTCCAACTCATTCGCCGTGCTGCAAGACGAGTGCTGTAAGAAAACTGCAGTTTACCCAAAAGGCAAGGAAGGGAGCGCCGGTACAGGAAGTAGGAAAACGAATTTTGGTTGTGGGTGATTCACAGGAGAGGTATTTGCATAGAATTTTTTGCCATAGATAGGGGGGAACAGGTTTAAGGTTCACTATCCGGGAGCAGGAATTGAGGATATTTGTAAAAAACATGAATGATAATATGGCTAGAAATGAGAACAAACCCTTTATTTGTATCAGTGCCGGTGGAAATGATGTAGAACGAGTTAGGAGTGAGGCACTGATACAGAGGTTTACGACAGCCAGAGAATTAGTTAGGAGCAAGGGAGGAATCACGATCATATGTTGCATTCTTCCAAAAAAGGGAGTTGGAAATGAATGTTTGTGGAGGGCACTTGGTGTCAATTGTCGACTGGACAAATATTGTAAATCAAATGCAATATCATTCATTGATAACTGGGAACACTTCTATGGAAGGAATGACATGTATGCTCTAAATGGGGGTTCATTTATCTAGGGCTGGGGTTCTTGCTGTTGCCAACTCGTTGGAATCTCTGGTTGGAGGGGATTGTTTGGGTTTACATTGTTAGTAGATAGTGGTATCGGAATGTAAATTGGGAAAGAAGGCAATATAAGTATGTGTACGTGGGGATTCAAATGACTTTTCAACAATATATGTTAAACTAATTGGCCGATAGTTTGACGCAAGTGATCTGTCTCCTTTCTTGAAAATTAGTTCCACATTAGCAACTTTCCACGACTCTGGCACTCTGCTTGATTCTAATGATTTATTAAATATGGTAGACAATGGCTCGCAAAGCTCCTCTTTGCATTCCTTAAGCACCCTGGCAAACACTTCGTCCGGCCTTGAGGATTTGTTTGGCTTGAGTTTCACTATTTGTTTAATAACATCCTCCCTGGTAACTGTTAAACTAGTCAACCTGTCCTCTTCCCCACCCACATAGACTTGTTCGGCTGAAGGCATAATGTTCTGTTATTATTTAGTAAATTCAGAGATAAAATATTTATTAATAATACTATATATCTCTTTGTCATTATCAGTTATCTGACTTATCACAGTTTTCAATGGACCTATCTTCTCCCTAATCTTTGTTCAATATAACTGAAAAAAAATTAGGATTTGCTTGCCCTGCTATACGAACTTTGCAGTTTCTTTTTGCCCTCCTTATCTCTTGTTTAACATTTTTAACCAGTTGGACGAATTCTTGTTCTAAACTGATTTCCCCATTCCTAATCATTTTGTACCAAGCTCTCTTTCTACCTATAAGGTTTTCAGATCCTTTGTTATCCATTTCGGGCCATTATTATTCGATCTATTCAATTTGTATGTTATACTACGTTCCTGTGCTTTGTTTAGATTTTTTTTCAATAAGTTATATTTCGAATCCACATTAAAATCCCTTTTTACATCACCCAACGCTTGGTTCACGTCTCCCTCCAAGACCAGCCAACCCCCCCCCCCCATGCCCAGGACTTTCCAATTTATTTCAACCAAAAAATTTCTTAGACCATTAAAATCAGCTTATCGAAAATCTGGCACTTTAACAGAATTTTCTCCAACATATCTATTCCATTCAATGTTAAATCTGATTTCTTTGTGATCACTGTTCCCTAGCTCACTCCCTATTTCGATTTCAATATTTGAGTTTCCCTGTTAGTTAACACTAAGTCTAAAATATTATTTACCCACTTTCGTTCCTTAATGTGTTGCTTAAGAAAGCAAGTAAGTTAGTAATTATCAAAAGAAGGCACCAAACTGGGAAGGCTATGTAGCACCATCAAATGTGTGGGATAATCAGAGGGAGATAAATATCACCAAGGATGCCAATACGAGAATAGAAACGCATAAGGCGAACGATATCAAAAGTATCCGAATCACGAAGAATTCTATCGAGGGACAAGCAACCGAGGGGGACAGTCGGAAAACAAGACACGCGCTAGTCCCGGAAGTCAGGACATTCATCAAGGATATGCACGACTGTAAGAGGGACAATGCAATATGAACAAGAAGGAGCAGGGCAACGCTCCATTAAGTGACCATGAGTTAAGTGAGTATGGCCAATACGCAACCTCGCCAGAGCCGTTTCTCATCGCCGGTTACGGTGGTAGGAGGACGACCACAAGGACACACAACTCTTAATAGTATGCAGTTTGTTACCAGTAACAGAAGACCAACAAGCCTGCCAACGGGTAAGGATAGAGGAATGGATAACTGGGAATAAGGAATACCTTTACGAGAGATGGGATTAAGAAAGCAATCGTCAATTAATTTTAGAAAAACTTCTGCTTCATTATTCCCTGTTCTGTTAATTCAGTTTATTCCACTAAAATTAAAGTCACCCATGACTCAAATACAGTTTGACCTAGATGCTCTAGATATTTCATCCAATAGATGCTTTGCTTCCATTCTAAGTTTGGTGGCCTGATTATAACTCCTATTATAAGATTTTTAGATTTTTCGTTTAATTCTAGCCAGATAGTTTCTGTGTGTGTGTGGCTCAGTTTTGATTCCGTCATTGATAGTACATTTCAAATTTTCCTTAACATATATGTTTTCTCCCCCTCCTAGTCTAATATATCTGTGTGAAATAGTTTATATCCTTATGAACAAATCCACACGGGTCGTGGCGATGATTCGAACCTGCGACCAGGAGCATCCCAGACGCTGCCTTAATCGACTGAGCTATGACATGGTAAAAGATTTGAAACCGAAGTTCTTCTGTACTTACTTGATCCCGCAGCTTCTCCGAAACACAAACCAGGGTTTTACACAACTCCCCCCATGCACTCGAGCTGTGTCAATAGGCCATACTCCATCTTCGCCCTTACATCATTACACACAGTAATCACAATAACGTGATGCATCAAATGAACAAATCCACAAGGGCCGTGACGAGGATTCGAACCTGCATCCGGGAGCATCTCGGACGTTTGTTATTTATATCCATTTGATTGATATTCGGCTAATAGGTCTCCATTTTCTACATTCATCCATGTTTTGATAAGTCCAATAATATCTTTTTTTTCTGTTCAGACAAGAGCATTTAAAACGTTTATTTTGTTTCTTAGACTCCTACTGTTCGTGTAATATACTTTAAGTGTATTGTTATTTTGAGGCCCTTCTCTTTCCCTGTTCATTTTGCCAATTTGCTTCTTCCCTTAAACACATACTTTTATTACCTCCTTTTTCCGTATAAATTCCCATACCACTATCTACTAACAGTTTAAACCCAAACAAGCACCTTCAACCACAGGTTCCAACGAGTTGGCAATAGCAAAAACCCCAGCCCTAGATGATGAACCCCATCCCGAGCTTACATGTCATTTCTTCCATAGAACATCTATGGAAGAAATGGTATCACAAGTATCTATGAATGATAATGCATTTGATTTGCAATATTTGTCCAGACGGCAATTGACACCAAGTGTTGTCGACTACCATTCATTTCCAACTCCCTTTCTTAGAAGAATGTAACATATGATCGGGATTCCTCCCTTAATCCTAACTAATTATATGGCTGTCGTAAACATCTGTATTAGTTCCTCACTCCTAACTCGTCCAACACCATTTCCACCGGCACGTTCACGTCCTGTATTCGAATTGTACCTTGGTAAATACGTCACACACGTACAAACAAATTCAAATAATTCTTTAAACAACCTATACATCTTATAAATCCCGATCTAGGTCTAATTATAAATCAAATTCTGATAAAAAATAATAATATTTTCGTCATAAAATCGACCTTCTTGTGAGAGAGAGAGAGAGAGAGAGAGAGAGAGAGAGAGAGAGAGAGAGAGAGAGAGAGAGAGAGAGAGAGAGAGAGAGGAGAGAGAGAGAGAGAGAGAGAGAGAGAGAGAGAGAGAGAGAGAGAGAGAGAGAGAGAGAGAGAGAGAGAGAGAGAGAGAGAGAGAGAGAGAGAGAGAGAGAGAGAGAGAGAGAGAGAGAAGAGAGAGAGAGAGAGAGAGAGAGAGAGAGAGAGAGAGAGAGAGAGAGAGAGAGAGAGAGAGAGAGAGAGAGGAGAGAGAGAGAGAGAGAGTGAGAGAGAGAGAGAGAGAGAGAGAGAGAGAGAGAGAGAGAGAGAGAGAGAGAGAGAGAGGAGAGAGAGAGAGAGAGAGAGAGAGAGAGAGAGAGAGAGAGAGAGAGAGAGAGAGAGAGAGAGAGAGAGAGAGAGAGAGAGAGAGAGAGAGAGAGAGAGAGAGAGAGAGAGAGAGAGAGAGAGAGAGAGAGAGAGAGAGAGAGAGAGAGGAGAGAGAGAGAGAGAGAGAGAGAGAGAGAGGGAGAGAGAGAGAGAGACGAGAGAGAGAGAAGAGAGAGAGAGAGAGAGAGAGAAGAGAGAGGAGAGAGAGAGAGGAGAGAGAGAGAGAGAAGAGAGAGAGAGAGAGAGAGAGAGAGAGAGAGAGGAGAGGGAGAGAGGGATAGAGAGAGAGAGAGAGAGAGAGGAGAGAGAGAGAGAGAGAGAGAGAGAGAGAGAGAGAGAGAGAGAGAGAGAGAGAGAGAGAGAGAGAGAGAGAGAGAGAGACTCTGACTGACTGACTGACAGAGAAACAGAGATTGCCATCGCCAGGTGTCCCTAACTAGTAAATACTAAAGCAATCAATTAATTGTAATCAAAGTATCTTCTGTTATGGCATACCACCATCTCTATCGTTTTATTAATTACTCCACATATTTATAAGAACCTATCAATACACACATCTATATATTATTATCTCCCAGTTGCTGTCGTGTCCGTCATCGTAATAGAAACAAAAATTCTTTCGAAATTAATAGACTCTATGGAAGTATTAAAAATAAATCACTCATGTTAATGGAATCATTTGAAAGCTTACTTATATGCAATAAGAACGCTGTGTTTTTTTATTTTCTCTCTCACCTTGATAAAGATGACAGGTATCTGAGGATGGAGTTCCTTCAGGCGAGAGTCAATCAGGATGGAATTTTCAACGTCCCATGAAGCTCCCTCTAAGAAGAGCCCATGCACGTAGGCTCCCTCCCTGGGCGCCGACCTGCAGGGATGAGACATGTGTACACCTGCTCGTTGCTGAGCTCACAATAACTAAACAAGATGCAGTATATGAGAGGTAAAAGGAGTGCAGACCACAAAGTAACCAGAATTGTAGTGAGGTTAATTATGGTGAGAGTGGCCAGCCGCACCTTACAGCAACGGCCAGAGTGAATGTTCTCTAGGGCGGGGTGGCCAACTTTTCGTCAGACGAAAACCATATTTTACTAAGTGATGATTTCACAATACCCCACACTGTATTATGCACAGTGTACACTCAATTATATCAAGAATAAACTTACAGATTGTTTCATTAATTGAATTGTTTAGAAGACAGCATTCAGTAGCATAAAAGGGAGCAGGTTCCTCACTCATTCTTTAGAGCGTCTGTTACACAATGTCGTTATGCTCATAATATATAACAAATACAAATAAATTAATACAGAACTTTAACAATCAATAAAATTTAAAGAAAACTAATTTTAAAGCGAAAATTAGAAAACCAGGTTAAACGTACGTGAAGTCTTCCTTGGTCTTCTTGGTGACGTCGCACTGGAGGCACATCTGGTCGAGGGGCATCTCGGACTTGCGCGCGGTGCTCTGCATGATGGCGGTCAGGAAGCTCTGGGGGTTGAAGAAGCCAGCCAGCCACACCGACGGCGGCACCTGCCACACCCACCACAGGGTAAGTTCTCTCTCCGCACTCCTCACCCATCATCATCTTGAGGTTATCTTGAGATGATTTCGGGGCTTTTTAGTGTCCCCGCGGCCCGGTCCTCGACCAGGCCTCCACCCCTAGGAAGCAGCCCGTGACAGCTGACTAACTCCCAGGTACCTATTTACTGCTAGGTAACAGGGGCATTCAGGGTGAAAGAAACTTTGCCCAATTGTTTCTGCCTCGTGCGGGAATCGAACCCGCGCCACAGAATTACGAGTCCTGCGCGCTATCCACCATGCTACAAGGCCCCCCCCCCCATCATAGTCTTGTTTTCACACTATCCCTTGTGTTTACTCAACATCATCCCTCGTGTTTAAGTCAACATATCCTTAGTGTTTACTCAACATTTCCTCGGATGTTTACCCAACATCACCCCTAGTGATTACTCAACATTATCTCTATTGTTTACTCAATATTACCCTAGGTGTTTACTCAACATTACCCCAGGTGTTTACTCAACATTACCACAGGTGTTTACTCAACATTACCCCAGGTGTTTACTCATTACCATTTTACTCACATTACCCCAGGTGTTTACTCACTTACAGGTGTTTACAACATTACCCCAGGTGTTTACTGAACATTACCACAGGTGTTTACTCAACATTACCCCAGGTGTTTACTCAACATTACCCCAGGTGTTTACTCAACATTACCACAGGTGTTTACTCAACATTACCCCAGGTGTTTACTCAACATTACCCCAGGTGTTTACTCAACATTACCCCAGGTGTTTACTCAACATTACCCCAGGTGTTTACTCAACATTACCCCAGGTGTTTACTCAACATTACCACAGGTGTTTACTCAACATTACCCCAGGTAATGTTGAGCAAATCTTTTAGTGTTTGGTTTGGTCAACATTATCCCTAATTTTTTACTCAACATTTCTCAAGATGTTTACTTAACATTATCCCTGGTGATTATGTGGCAATATCTCTGGTGTTTACTCAACATTATCCCTGGTTTTTACTCAATATTAACCAAGTTGTTTACTCAACAATGCCCTAGGTGTTTACTCATCATTACCCAGGTGTTTGCTCAACATTACTACAGGTGTCTACACAACATTACCACAGGTGTCTACTCAACATTACTCCTGGGGTTTGCTCAACATTACCACAGGTGTTTACTCAGCATTATGTAACGGTTGATTCCCGATTGATTCAGCCAGTAACGGCTGATTGATTCCACAGGTGTTTACTCAACATTAACTCTGGTGTTTACTCAACATTATCTCTATTCAGATGATGAGTCACATTAAGGTGGCTTAAGAATGTTGACCAAACCACACACTAGAAGATGAAGAGATGACGACGTTTCGTCCGTCCTGGACCATTATCAAGTTGATTGTGATAATGGTTCTCAATCAACTTGATTATGGTTCATGATGGACCAAAATGTCGTCTCTTCATCTTCTAGTGTGTGGTTTTGGTCAACATTATCCCTATTGTTTCCTCGACATTCCTCAAGAAGTTTACTCAACTTTATACTTGGTGATTATGCGAACTTATCCCTGATGATTTTGCGACATTATCCCTGGTGTTTACTTATCATTATCCCTGGTGTTTACTTATCATTATCCCTGGTGTTTACTTATCATTATCCCTGGTGTTTACTTATCATTATCCCTGGTGTTTACTCAACATTATTCTTGGTTTTTACTCAATATTTCTGTGAGGGGATGGAATTTTTCAGCTAAGCTTCTAGACTGTGGGAGTGCAAACCGTTGCTGTGCACCCTGATACAGTGCACAGTCATGCACTCTTTTCTAGATTTCCGTACTTCTTCCACGAAACCTCTCTTGTTTGGTGTCTATGTGTAATCTAGCTCCAGACCATTCCACTGAGACTACAGGGGCCGCTGTAGCTACTCTGTGAGCAGAGTTACAGACATAGGCATGTTTTACATAAAAATATGTACAGTGAGGAGCAGGCAGGATGTTTGCGGTCATAAGCCAACGGTTCCTAACTGGTGTCAAGCAATGACTTGTAAGTGCCGTGATGTCACGTGACCCAAGGGGAAGCCCTGGTTGGTAGAGGCATCTTAGGCCGAGCTGGCGTATTTCCCTGTGATTGGTCATGTCAAAGACAGAGGGGGAGAAGCGGGTTGAGTTTCCGCCGCGTCATCTCAAGCATTCTGGACGTGGTGTTGTCTAGCTAACACGTGCAAGATATTGTGTGTGGCCGGCCACCCACGAGAGTCTCTGTCATCGCGGCGTCAACAGCCATCTTTTTATCCGTCTGATACCCACGAGAATGAAGCAAAATCTGATTTGCACGAGTGTGGGATTAATTTGGGATTGATGAGATCAGTAAAGTAGAGTCGTGACCACGTGATCTCAAACAGGGGCAACGGGACTGTTCTGTGTGATCTGCATGTATTGTCAGCACTTGGGGTCATCCATTCTGATGACTAAGATACCTGATATGAGGTGGGATTGAGGAAGGTTTCTCAAGTGTTGAAGAAGCTTTCTGTGGTAATTTTAGTTAAATTACAGTCCACCTAGGAGGACATTGTCTCCCATCTCACCATGTCCCCATTTCCCACGACACCACACCCGGTACGAGTGCAGCCCGCTCGTGTGTGTATGTGTTCGAGCCATCCAAAATGAGTCTTGGTGTGAGGCTGCCAGCCTCCAGCGACTCGCTGTGCCGCCACCCTGTAGTCGCGTCACCGTGTTCACCATTCACCACCCCGTATTGAAACACCAAATCATTCTCTGTTGTCTCCATACCCACGTGGAGGAAGTTTGGGTGAATCTTCAACTCTTCAGTACTATATCTTCAGTGCATGAAAGGGAGTGGATGGAGAATGAGAGAAGACTGGTTAAGTGAGTACTCATATTTCTGTAGTGGTGATGATGTCTAAACTGATTCGTAGTCAGGGGTGTGGCTAGCGTTCTCATATTAAGTACTTAATTAAGTGAGAGGAATCTCTGTGTGAGATTGTACCTGTAAATGAACGACAATCAGAGTGTTCGGGGGTGGGAACGGCTGTCAGTTGGGTCGTCAGAGTGTGTATGAATTACACCTGGGAACAACTGAGAGTCTGAGCTAGGAGTATTGTGTATAAATTTGTGCAGTTTAATTATACCAGACTGTATCCAGTTTTTGCCTTGTATGTGTTTATCTCATTGCAGGTGTATCCAGTATCTGGCAGAGGTAAGAGGTCGGTAGTGACACCCTGTTCTGTAATTACTGTGTTAATTGACACATTACAGTGTCGGAATTATTGTTTGGGATCATTAATTCTATGTGTTTTGTGTGATTTTGGGCAGTGATAGTTATATACATATATATTTTATTAGTGAGCTGTGTAACCCATGTACCTGGGTACTGTGTTTGCTTGTCTTTGCGACAAGGACTTGGTGTAACCATTAATTGTTCATTGGAGATTCAGTGAGAGTTAATTAGGGGGTAATTAACGTCACCAAGGGAATTCACGTTATTGTGATGAGAGCTGTCGCGAGTGGCAGATTGAGTTAACGAGAGTGTTCAGTATTAATTTCCTGTCCGGTTGACAGTAATTAATTACTCAAGTTAATTTGGGGTAATTAACATCATCATTAACATCATTTCCGCGAGCGCTTTGTCATGGGTTCGTATCCTGCCGGGGAGGATTTACTGGGCGCAAATCCTTAACTGTAGCCTCTATTTAACGCAACAGTAAAATGTGTACTTGGTTGTAACAACGATTCTTCGCGGCGGGGATCGTATTCCAGGGACCTGCCCGAAACGCTACGCGTACTAGTGGCTGTACAAGAATGTAACAACTCTTGTATATATCTCAAAAAAAAAAAGTTTCTACATAGTTTAAATTCATATGGTTGTTGAACGCTGTTTTTGCGGATAACAGTGATTGAGTTAATATCAGTCGTTCAAGTTGATTACCTGTCCTTGAGACAGGTAATTAATTACGCAAGTTAATTAGGGGTAATTAACGTCATTAAAAGTGAATTCACAGTGTTTTGACTAGCTGTCGTGGGCGACAGTATTGTGGTAACGTAAATCATTTTGGATTAATTATGTATGTTGCATGATAATTAGTCACTCAAGTTAATTAGGGTAATTAACATCAAATGAATTCATATAGTTTGATGCTATCGGTCGTGCGTGACAGTGAGTGACAATGCGTGACAGTGAGTGACAATGCGTGACAGTGAGTGACAATAACGTAGTGCATTCTGGATGTAATTATCTGTCCGTGGGACAGTAATTATTCACTCAAGTTAATTAGGGGTAATTAACATCATCAAGCAAATTTGACATAGACATGTTTGGAAAGCTGTCAAGAGTCACAGTATTGTTAACGTAAACTCGTTTTCGATTAATTAGCTGTCCGTTTATAGTAATTAATGTAATTACTCATGGAATGCTGGATGGGTCAAGTGATTGAGTAATTATGATTAGTGAGTTATTGTGTTGACTGTTTGACTGATCTGAGGGAGACTAGGTTGTAATTAACGTAAAATGCTTTGTTGCTAACTGACAACTGACAGTCAATTAACGTAATTAATCACTGAGATCAATTAGTGTAACTTTTATACTATTGTTTGATAGTCATCTTGAGAGACGAGTGATGGGGTAACTAATGGGGTTACCGGAGTTTGTCTCATGACCTGCCGTGCTTTGATTTCACTGTAATTTAATTGCAGAGTGCTGCAAGGGTTTTAATTACAATTTGCATCCTAAGTGAGCACGCTGATTGTTTGTGTCCTGGTTTGGGTCTCGGAGAGGCTGCAGGATCCAAGTAAATTAAGTAAAATTTCCGGTTGCAATTCTTATACCATGTCGTAGCTCAGTCGATTAAGGCAGCGTCTTGGATGCTCTCGGACTTAGGTTGGAATCCTCAAAACGGCTCGTGTGGATTTGTTCATTACCACTGGTGTCTACTCAACATAATCTCCGGAGTTTACCCAACATTACAAGAGGAGTTTACTCAACAT